CCTGAGTAGCTGGGATTACAGGTGCAAGCTACCACACAGGGCTTGACCTTTGTCTCTCTTTTTTGTTTTTGAGACAGAGTCTCAGTTTGTTGCCCGGGACGGGGTCCTGTGGCATCAGCCTAGCTCACAGCAATCTCAAATTCCTGGGCTCAAGCAATCTTTCTGCCTCAGCCTCCCAAATAGCCAGGACTACAGGCATGAGCCACCATGCCCAGCTAGTTTTTTCTCTATATTTTTAGCTGTCCAGGCAATTTCTTTCTATTTTTAGTAGAGACGGGGTCTCACTCCTGCTCAGCTGGTCTCAAACTCCTGAGCTCAAATGATCCACCTGCCTTGGCCTCCCAGAGTGCTAGGATTACAGGCATGAGCCACCGTGACCAGCTGACCTTTGTCTCTTAATATGATCTATTTCACATTAAGAAGGCTTCTGAGTGGTATTTGTCTCTTCTATCCAGTCCATTCTCCTAACTGCAGCCCTTTCTTTTAATTTCTAAGACATTGGATCATGCCATTCCCCTATAAACTTTCTAAGACTCTACCATCTTTTGGGCATTCTTTAGTGTAGTTTGTTCATCTTCACAATCTTCCCAGCTGATTTTTCTATATCAACCCACCTAGTCTTAACATCAGAAATGACTCTCTTGCAAATCATGAGCTTCTGAGCATAATGCCTTTATTTTTCTTTTCTATCTGTTGAACATTCTCCTCATTCAAAATCTACCTTACATCCTACTTCCTCTCTGAGCTCCCGAAATCAGGGTCCTTGTCATTGAGGTTCTTGTGTGCTGCTTGTTCATTAGGTAAGAAAAGAGAGCTATGAAAGGATTTAAGAGGGTAAGTGACCTCATCACACTTGCTGTGGTAGAGGGTGGATTTAAGTGAAACAAGACTGGAAGCCCAGAGACCACCTAAAACCAACTAATGTGATATTATTTATTCAGTAAATATTCACCAGTGGCCTGCTTTGCCAGGCACTACTTTAGGCACTGAGCAGGGAACAAGACAGACAAAGTCTCTGTCTTCATGGAACTTATTATGTAGTGTGAAAGACAGATAAACCGTAACACACAAATAAAACATCAATACTACCATGCTAAAATCGTCTAGGCGTGAAGGAGTCACCAACCCTAATTTTGAAGAACACACATACACATAACCTGGCTTCATATACAGAACAAAAACTAAAAAATAAAAATACATCAATATATACAAACATAACAAATAAGAAACAAGCAAAAAGGTTAGTATCTGAGCGGCAGCCTTTAATATAAAATAGGACTAAATGAACGATTCAATTTCACACCTAGAAAGTCACTAACCTCACCTATCCAGGTTATGCTCAAACACAGAAAAGGGGTTAGATCTAGTTACCTCAGTAAGGAACTGTTGCCTCCAAAGAGAATGTTTTTCATGCAGACCCATACAGGCAGTTGTTAGAGAATCTATAGCTAAGTCAGGAAAGGCTGCCCGCCACAACAGGATATGAACAGCAAGCAGGTTGTTTGAGTCTGGTTTAACAGTTCCCCCTGGTTAACAACGCTACTATCCACCCTACTATGGCCCACTCGTTATGCTAATCTTAGTCCTTACTTCGAGCCATGTGTAATTAATAGACTAGTAGCTTTTGTGAAAGAACGGAAACACTGTCCAGCTATAGTATTGCAACAACAATATCAGCAGCTTGGTCAAGTGCTATAGAACTAGAGCACCTAAGAGACTTGAGGACGAGCAGGATGCTGTCTGCCTACCTAGAGAAAGGGGGAATGAGGGCAGAGAAGGGCAGAGGAAGTTGTAGGACAGAGGAGGGCAGAGGAGTTTTCCAATTGTCGGGAATTTACTTGGGTGGGCAATGAGCTAACCGCAAACTTTTGCTTCTGGTCATGCTTGCTTGCTACACACTGTATGGGGAATTATGGGATGAGGTCATTGAAGCACGGCAACTGCCCATCAGGCAATAGACGGCGCACCACCTTGCCATCTATTCCATTCAAACGGCATAGTGGGCAACCAATCATTTTAAAGGTCAACGCATGATCCATGCATAGTCAGCTTGTGCGCAGCTTGTGCACCATGGGGATAAAAGGCATGCCGTTTGTTCCGGTCGGGGTCCTTGCCTGCGAGAGTGGCCACTGCGTTGGTGCTCTGGGGCTTGGACCCTGGCTAGCCAGAAAATAAACCTCCTCTTGTGTGATTGCAAAAAAAAAAAAAGTGTGATACTCTGAATATAAGAAAAAATGAGTAAGAGGATAACCGAGAGCAGGTTTATTTTTGTTTTGTTTTGATTTTTTTTGAGACAGAGTCTCACCCTTTTCCTGGGCCAGAGTGCAGTGGCATCATCATAGCTCATTGTAGCCTTGAACTCCTGTCCTCAAGGGATCCTCCTTCCTCAGCCTACTCAGAAGCAGGGACTACAGGTGTTCGACACCATGCCTAGCTAATTTTGTAAACAATTTTTTGTAAAGACAGGTCTCATTATGTTGCTTAGGCTGGTCTCAAACTCCCAGCCTCAAGGGATCCTCTCACCTCGGTCTCCCAAAGTGGTAGGGTTATAGATGTGAGCCACTGTGCCCCATCATAGTTTATGTTTTAACTGAGCCATGTGAGAGATGATGAAGAATTAGGAATATGAGGTTTGAAATCAGTGTAGTTTCATCTGAGCTGTACCACTTGATATCTGTGTGACTTTGGGCAAATTTTAAGAAACGTTTTTTTAAGCATCATCTTTCCTGTGTGTAGAATGAGAACAAGGATAGTAATCACCTCACAGGGCTGCTAAAGAGTTAAATAAGATGATCTCAGGCCCTGATTTTTGAAAAGTGCTGGTTAATATTACTATATGGTAGTGGTAGGGTGGAGAGGAGATGCAGATGTGAGAAATGTTTAGAAACTAAAAGTGGCAGATTTTTGTGACTGGATATAGTAGGTAAGCAGAAAGCCGTGCTCCTTCGGAAAGAGACGTTGATCCTCAATTTCTTCATTTATAAAATGGGATAATAGCTTTGTAATTTATTTATCTTGCAGGATTGTAGCTTGTAAGGCTCAGCTGAGGTAAGGTGTGTGTTTTAGCCCACATCCTCTGGGAAGCAGAACCCAATTAAGGAGCTAACTTTTTATTTGGAAGGTACAAGACTGGAGTAATGAAAGTGAGGGAGAGAAAGAAGTAAGGCAAAGGAAGATGTAATAATTTACATCCCTGGCTACTACTAGACCTTGAGCTGTGAAGAGACATAGCAGGTCACTCACACATGGAATTTTTCTGATAGTGTTTTTTTGTTTGTTTGTTTGTTTTGTTTTGTTCAAGACAGAGTCTCACTTTGTCACCCCCAGTTGAGTAAAGTGGTGTCATCATAGCTCACTGCAACCTCAAATTCCTGGGTTCAAAAGACCCTCCTGCCTCAGCCTCCAGAGTAGCTGGGACTACAGGCGCACACCACAATGCCTGGCTAGTTTTTCTATTTTTAGTAGAGATGAGGTCTTGCTCTTGCTCAGGCTGGTCTTGAACTCCTGAGTTCGAGCAGTCCTCCCACCTCTGCCTCCCAGAGTGCTAGGAACCACACCCAGCATGTTTTATTTTTTGCATGCATGTGCGTGCACGTGTGTGTGTGTGTGTGTGTGTGTGTGTGTAGGACGGGGGTGAGATGAGTGGGAAAGTAGGAAACGCTGGAAGGATTTCAAAGACATCAGAGTAGTCCATAGAAGAAAGAAAGGAGGGATGATTTATCTGTCCAGCTTCGTTACATTTCCTGTTTCCAGTTGGTTAAGACTCATCCCATGGGGAGCTAATTTACATGCTTCTGGGTTGCGTGGTTTCCCATTAATGGAGCAGCCAGCAGATCCCCCATCCTGAATTATATTTCAACCAAATCCTAAAGAGAGAGGTGTCTCAGGGTGGAGGGGCACAAACCAAAAACAAAGCTTGAAAGGGGTAGTGGAAGGTTCACACAGTTTATGTCCCCATATAACATAGAAAAGTGGTGTGAAAACAGTTTCATTCTTGACTAAGGAAATACCAACAGTATTTTAGGATGATTTATTTGACCTTTTAATGGTTATATGAAAGGGGAAAGTAGCTGGAGTTTGGACACAAAATCCTAGATTTGAAGTTACCTGAGAATTTGGACTATGAGGATGGTAGTGGTAGACTTAATAGGAAAAGATTTGATTACATTATAAAGAAGGGAAAAATAGTGTCAGATGAGTAATAAGAAATCAAGAGAAGAGAGGCCGGGTGCGGTGGTTCACACTTGTAATCCTAGCACTCTGGGAGGCCAAGGCGGGAAGATCACTTGAGCCCAGGAGTTTGAGGTTGCAGTGAGCTACATGATGCCACTGCACTCTAGCTTGGGCAACAGAGTGAGACCCTGTCCCCTCAAAAAAGTACTCATCAGCAATAGCAGTGTTTTGCTTCGCCTGTATTCTTTAAAGCGTGCTGATATTGTTGATTTGAACTTCTGTTCCTTTCAGTACTGGACAGGATGCTCAGGTCTGTAGCATTGCTGGTTATGAATGGCTTATTCTTTGGGCTCTGAAATGTGTGCTCTGCCATTTCTCCAGCTTCTCATGTCCAACCTAAAGTAGGGGAATATTAGAGAATACTTCTTGGCTGTAGAAAATGGTTCCATTGAGTCACATGTTATTTCTCTGAGCTGTGTAAGAAATCAGCCATTTATATGTAGGGTTTTGATAAGTCAGGTATACTTGTTCAGATGATAGAAACCACATTGTGAGTTGTGTTAATCTCAACTATGTATGGTGGCTTTAGTGAACCTGAATTATTTTTCTTTGAAATGACATCCTTATTTAAAACATTGTTTTACAATGGCACTGTCAGTATTTTGTGACTATACAGTTGATTTCCTTAGGCCTTTTAACATTTTTCTTTTCTATCAAAAAATCTTCTTTTCTTGAACATGTTTGAGCTGTAATTTGACAAGTGTAGCTTGTGGTCATCCTCCAATCAGATTTGAATTGTTAACATTCTATATTGGAATGTGTCTGCTTTCAGTTAACTGATTTTTTTCAGTTTTGAAAAAGTGATGCATTTCTTTGCTACTTAGTTTAAACCTAAAAGCAATTGTTTGATTAGAAATGAAGTCTATTGGCTTAAAGAATGTCAAGGTTTGTGGGTCAAAGAGCTCTGTACGTCTAGAAGGTCAGTCATGCTCATTGGGCCATAGTAGAAGAAAAGTCAAGCTTATGGATGAACGGTCATATACTCTTTCAATTGGCAACGGAGACTACTTTTGGACCAATAAAGACACATTGTGGAATTATGTGCAGACTATGTCTGGTAAGAAGTCAGTAGTTACAAGTAACGAATGTTTTAAAAAATTAAAAAAACTGATTACAAACATTAATAACCATTCCTGGCAGATAATTTGAAAAATATACAAACATATAACAAGGAAAATAAAAATAGTAATCTCATTGAAGTGTATTTTTTAAAAAAGGAAAATTTTTATACTGAAAAGATTGTTGGTAAAATAATGGTTGGTTAATACATAAAAGGTTATTTATTGAGCTCAGTTCTCTGAAATGTATAATCGGGATTTCAGAGTCTCTTTTCAGTCTTAGAGTCCAGCTTATTTATCTTTTTTTTTTTAAATAGAATCTCGCTCTGGTGCCCTGGCTAAAGTGCTGTGGCATCAGCCTAGCTCATAGCAACCTCAAACTCCTGGGCCTAAGCCATACTCCTGCCTCAGCCTCCCGAGTAGCTGGGACTACAGACATGTGCCACCATGCCCGGCTAATTTCTTTTTATGTATATGTATTTTTTTAGTTGCCCAGCTAATTTCTTTATATTTTTTCAGTAGAGATGGTGTCTCCCTTCTGCTGAGGTTGATCACAAACCCCTGATCTCAAGCAATCTTCCCACCTTGGCCTCCCAGAGTGCTAGGATTGATTATAGGTGTGAGCCACCACACCTGGCCCAGCTTATTTATCTTAAAGTTGGCTTCTCTCCTTTCCTGGAGAATTTTGAGAGACTTTTACATTTCCTAAGAGTTGATGACAGCAGTGCCACATGAGTTACTCTGCTTTTAGTGGAGAATAGAAGCTTAAAATCTTTATCGCCTAGGTGAATTATCGGGTGTTCCCCTGTGCCCTGTATTTCTAAGTCACTCTGACAATTGGGCCCAGAACTCCCATTAAAGAATGTCACCTGATCTGTGAGGGCATATTTTAGAAGAAGCAATGGAGATAACTTGAGGGCAAAATAAGAATTTTGGACATTTGCTTTAAATTTATTATATTTCCTTGTGAGGGAAGATACATTTTTTTAAATGTTAGGTTTCTTAAAATCTTAAACAATAAAAGAAACATAGTATTTATGCTCATTGTTAAAATTTTATGATGACCATACATGGAGTTGAGGGTTCATATAAATCTAAACTTACACCTTGCTTTCTGGAGTCTTAGAATCCTGAATTCCATTTTTACACATTTTAAAGTAATGATCCTTATTGATTTTGTGCACCCAAGAGTTTTGCAAAACTGATGTGTCGTCTAAACTGTTGGTAGTCTTGCATTCAAACTCATTGTTACTAGCTTTCTAAAGAAAAAGTTGTTTAACACTATAAACTTTTTGGAGTTAGACACACACTAACATTGCACAACAAGGTCACTAAACTTTCTTCATTAAACTATTAGTTTTTCTTCCACCTTATTAGCACTCAGTTCTTATTTATCTGTATGCTGAAGGGGAAATGAAATACTGATTTGTCTACCAACTTTATTTTATTTTTTTTATTTTTTATTTTATTTTTTTGAGACAGAGTCTCACTTTTTTGCCCAGGCTAGAGTGACTGCCATGGCGTCAGCCTAGCTCACAGCAACCTCAAATTCCTGGGCTCAAGCAATCCTCCTGCCTCAGCCTCCCAAGTAGCTGGGACTACAGGCATGCACCACCATGCCCAGCTAATTTTTTCTATATATATTAGTTGGCCAACTAATTTCTTTCTATGTATAGTAGAGATGGGGTCTCGCTCTTGCTCAAGCTGGTTTCGAACTCCTGACCTCGAGCAATCTGCCCACTTCGGCCTCCCAGAGAGCTAGGATTACAGCCTTGAGCCACCGCACCCAGCCTACTTTATTATGTTTAATGTGCAGACATATATTTTAAAAAATATACTGCAAGAATTCTTAATTGTTCTGGAAAAAGGAAAGGGAGAAGGGAGCCATATTTATTAGCATCTCCAATTAAAGATAGTTAGGCCAAGGGGAGACTGGACTGAATGAAGATGTGACTGATTCTAAGACTGTGCTCTTTTAATTATATTTTGCCTTCTTGAAAGAGGGAAATTGGGAATCTTCATTGGTGCTCACATGTGCCAGGCCAGGGCCCCCTGAAGTCAGCTATCCTGACAGCTGGTTATTTGAGATGCTCCTGGAATGCCAGTTTCTAGGAAGTTACCAGAAAATGCCCAGATCAGGCCGGACATGGTAGCTCACACCTGTAATCCTAGCACTCTGGATGGCCGAGGTGGGAGGATCACTTGAGCTCAGGAATTCGAGACCAACCTGAGCAAGAGCCAGACCCCATCTCTCAATGGAGTGAGACTGTCTAAAAAAAAAAAACAAAACACCAGAAAATGCCCAGATTATAAATGTACATACAGTTTGATGAATTCTCACACACTGATCACTCCAATGGATCAATATCAACACCTCAGAAGCCTGTCTATGTATCTTTTTTTTTTGAGACAGAGTCTTCACTCTGTTGCCCAAGCTAGAGTGAGTGCTGTGGCGTCAGCCTAGCTCACAGCAACCTCAAACTCCTGGGCTCAAGCGATCCTTCTGCCTCAGCCTCCCGAGTAGCTGGGGCTACAGGCATGCACCAGCATGCCCAGCTAATTTTTTCTATATATTTTTAGTTGACCAATTAATTTATTTGTATTTTTAGTAGAGAGGGGGTCTCACTCTTGCTCAGGCTAGTCTCGAACTCCTGAGCTCAAACGATCCGCCCACCTCGGCCTTCCAGAGTGTTAGGATTACAGGCGTGAGCCACCTCGCCTGGCCCCTTCTTCATCTCTTTCCCCAGATGTAACCACTAAGAATTTGTTGTGTATCCTTTCAGACTCATTCTGTACATATTCAGATATGCATATGTCTGTATATATTTTTATTAAAATGTAGGATTGGGTTGTACAAAACAATTTGTAGTCTATTTCTTTCATTTAACAAGATGTTGTAGATATTTTTCCATGTCAAATTATGTAAATGTCTTTTTAACAACAGTTAATGTGCCATTGTAGACCTATACAATGATTTAGTTATCAAATGTCTTAATAGAAGGATACTTATTTCTAGATATTCACTGTTATTGTTTTAATTTACATGTATTTAATAATGAGACTGGGCCAGGTGCAGTGGCTCATGCCTGTAATCCCACTGCTTTGTGGGAAGCCAAGACTGGAGGCTCACTTGCAGCCAGGAATTCAAGACCAGCCTGGGCAACATAATGAGACCCTGTCTCTACAAAAAAATTAAAAATTAGCCAGGTGTAGTGGAGTACACCTGTAGTCCCCACTACTCTAGAGGCTGAGGCAGGAGGATTACTTGAGTTCAGGAGTTCGAGGCGCTTGTGAGCAATGATTATGATTGCAGCACTGCACTGCAGCCTGGACAACAAAGCAAGATTCTGGGGGGGGGGTGGTGAAGGGGATGGAATAAGGAGACCAAATTTAATTTTGTATGTTATTAAACCATTCATATTTACTGTTCTTTGAACACGTTTCTAGTGTTTGAGGAATGCTACGAAGGACTATGGCAGTAAGGCTGACCTTGGTGAAGATGCCAGAAGGCTGTTGAGGATAAGGGGACTTGTTTATTTATTCAACTCCTGGAAAGCTACTTTGGAGGGGTGTCACATTTTCCCAGTATCCTGGAAGGGGAGCTTGTGATGGATAAGGTGTGAATGGCGAGAGGGACTATCATGAAGATAAAACTCTGGGGTAGAATACTGGAGGAACATTTTTGCCAGCTCCAGCCCCAATCCAAGTCCATGTTGGCAGACCTGTAGGAGGAGAAAGGAAGAGTTGAAAGGAGAGAGTGAGCAGAGGAACTCTATTAGAGGTGTGCTTCTTGACAACTTTCTGGAATGTAGGGAGGCTAAGAAGGAGGCAGTTTGACATGGTGAAAGGACACCAGCTTTGAGCTTAGAGTTCACTTTTGTTATTCCTGGGTGACCTTGGACAAGTTACTTCTTTGAGCCATAGTTTCCTTGTCTATAAAGTGGTATGAACATCTGTCTTGCTAATTGTAATAATTAGTGGTAATTTACATAAAGCTCCTAGTATTAATACTGTAAGAAGTGGCATACAGTTAAATGCCCAGCATTTATTATTATTACCAATAACAAGCCATATCTGGCTGCTCCTGGGAAAGAAAAGGGATCCAGATCTCTCTATATATATATCTTGTGAAGGGGATTTTGTGTTAATAGAAGTAGAGACCAAAAGATTAGGGAACTTATACTAATTAATATCCACCCTAGAAATGGGAGCTCAAGGAGGTAATTGACCACAGTGAGTGGTCCATGCATGGTCTTTGAGGAGAGGATACTCAGCAGAGGAACTGGAAGTGCTGATTTGTCTGTAAGGGAGCAGTCTCTGAACTTGGTGGTCCTTTCCCTTAGGCCAGAAAGAGCAACCTGAAAAGGGAGAGGGAAAGGAGCCGGGGACTACTTGCAAACCCCTGAAGCTTCCCCATTCTTAGACCCTGTGCTGAGGAGAAGCTTCCCAGGGAACAGTATAGTACTCAAATGATCAGGAGCAAATCTGCTGGAGTTTGAGTCTGGTTCCATAATTTATTAATACTAGCTTTGTGACCTTAGCCAAAGTTCTCGTAGCTTCATGTTTCAGTTTATGTGACTACACAATAGGAAGTACCCACCTGGCGACTGAGTTGAAAATTAAATGGATTTGGCTCACACTTGTAATCCTAGCACTCTGGGAGGCCAAGGCAGGCGGATCGCTTGAGCTCAGGAGTTGGAGACCAGCCTGAGCAAGAGCGAGACCCCGTCTCTACTAAAAATAGAAAGAAATTAATTGGCCAACTAAAAATATATATATATAGAAAAAATTAGCCGGGCATGGGGCGCATGCCTGTAGTCCCAGCTACTCAGGAGGCTGAGGCAGGAGGATCGCTTGAGCCCGGGAGTTTGTGGTTGCTGTGAGCTAGGCTGATGCTCCAGCACACTAGCCCAGGCAACAGAGGGAGACTCTGTCAAAAAAAAGAAAAAAGAAAAAACAGGCAAGCAATATATAAACTGTTACATGGACAACTTTCAGTTGAACAGCTTTTAATTAAGCATACCCTTATATTAATATAAAAATCCTAATTAGATTACATATATTGCCCCATCCAAGTCAGAGCTTCAAGTGTGTCCATCCCCCCATTTAATGGGCACCGCACCCATTAACTGTGAATATACCTACCCCCCTCCGCTTTTCCAAGGATCCTTGTGTATCTTAAATGTATCATTGTCAATGTCCTGAGTGTGATATTATGCTATAGTTTTGGAAGATACTAGATTGGCGGAAACTGGGCAAAGAATATAAGGGATAGCTCTGTATTATGTCTTACAACCGCATGTGAATCTACAATGATCTCCAAATAAAAAGTTTAATGTAAAAAATAGTCTAGGTGAAGAAAATATGGATGTTCATTGTATATTCTTTCAGCTTTTCTGTAGGTGTGAAAATTTTCAAAGTTTGTGAGGAGGGCTGATTGGAGATAAAAAGATCTAAAAAATACTAGAAAAGTAGATTGGAGCTTTTTTAAAAATCAAAAGAAAGTTTTCTAAGTGGAAAAAATCTTTGTAAATCTTAGAAGAAAACAGTTAAAGACAACTTGTATGTTGAGATCAGTATCGTAGGGAAAAGCAAGAAGAGTCATGGTATCCTAAATTTTGAGGTTAAGGATGACGTTAAAATAACCCATGGCATTATAGCTAACTATACCTTCTCAAGGACCATGGCTTTCTTCCCCACCTGCCATTCATAGTGTTGGATAAATGTGAAAGGGGCTAAAATAGATTTTGAAATCAGTTTCAAAACATTTTTTATGGTCCCTTGATGTATTAGACAACTTTTTTTTTTTTTTTTTTTTGAGACAGAATCTCGCTTTGTTGCCAGGCTAGAGTGAGTGCGTTGGCGTCAGCCTAGCTCACAGCACTCAAATTCCTGGGCTCAAGCCATCCTGCTGCTCAGCTCCCGAGTAGCTGGGACTACAGGCATGCGCCACCATGCCCGGCTAATTTTTTCTGTATATATTAGTTGGCCAATTAATTTCTTTCTATTTATAGTAGAGACGGGGTGTCGCTATTGCTCAGGCTGGTTTGGAACTCCTGACCTCTGAACAATCCTCCCGACTCGGCCTCCCAGAGTGCCAGGATTAGAGGCGTGAGCCACCATGCCCAGATGTGGTTAACTATAGAAGTATTTATTATTTTTTTTGTTTTGTATTGTTTTTTTGAGACAGTCTCACTGTGTTGCCTGGGCTAGAGTGCCGTAGCATCAGCCTAGCTCACAGCAACCTCAAACTTCTGGGCTGAAGCCATCCTCCTGCCTCAGCCTCCTGAGTAGCTGGGACTATAGGCATGTGCCACCATGCCCAGCTAAATTTTTTCAAATATTTTTAGTTGGCCAATTAATTTATTTTTATTTTTTAGTAGAGACAGGGTCTCACTGTTGCTCAGGCTGGTTTCGAACTCCCAAGCTTGAACAATCCACACGCCTCGGCCTCCCAGAGTGCCAGGATTATAGGAGCGAGCCACCGCGCCCGGCCTAGAAGTATTTATTATTAATTCAATTTTTATAATGTATTTTGTTACCTTTTCTTTGCTTTAAAAAAAAATTAAAAATCGTGTCTATTTCTCTGTGCAGAAATATGAACTATGTTTTTGAATTCTTCTAAATATGTTTTATGGCTACTACTATGTAATTTACACGTGAAGGTTTGAAGTTTGTGAGAACTAAATAAGCATCATTCTTCTGTCTGCAGAGTATGATTTAGTGAATTAGCTTCCTTTGACTTATATCTTACATCAAGGCTCCAGTTCCCAAGGAGAAGAAAATGGACAAAAGATTTCTGCAAACCTCTCCCCACCAAAAATCATCTACCACAAATTAGGCTTAGTCTAGAAAGATCCATAGTGAACAAGAAGTGATATAATTTTACTGTGGTGTGCTCACAAACTTTGAAAGTGATGACTACTCTTCTTTAGTGTACCTTAAAAACCACTGAAGCATTTGTCAGAGCTCTTTAAAGTGTTATACTTACATGCTTTTGTTTTGAGTAGAGTTTTAGATTTGGTTCTGCTGAAATTTTTATCTTTACTTTGGAATTCTGTTTACAAAACAAAACAAAGCAACGCCTATAATCCCAGTGCTTTGGGAGGCCAAGGTGAGGAGGATCACTTGAGCCCAGGAGTTTTGAGACCAGCCTGCGCAGCATAGTGAGAACCTATCTCTATAAAAAATAAAAATAAAAAAGCTGTGTGTGGTGGCTTGTGCCTATAGTCCCAGCTACTCAGGAGGCTGAGTTGGAAAGATCACTTGAGCCCAGGAGTTCGAGGTTGCAGTAAGCTGTGATTGTGCTACTGTGCTCTAGCCTAGGTGACAGAGCAAAGCTTTGTCTTTGAAAAAAAAACAAAATCTAATTTTTAAAATAGGAAATTAAATTTAGTATTTAATTAGTGGGGTAGGAGATAGTTTTCCCAGCTAAATAGATTATTCATCTTTACTTAAAATACAAATGGACTTAATCATGTTAAAGAAACTTTTTAAATTTGTTAATCATTGGCTTTTGGATTTCCAAGCCTATGAAAACATTCTTTGCCTGGAAATTAAGTGAACTTTTTTCTTTTTCTTTTTTTCTTTTCTTTTTTTTTTTTTTTTTGAGCCCATGAAGTCTCACTTGTTGCCCAGGCTAGAGTGAGTGCCATGGCGTCAGCCTGGCTCACAGCAACCTCAATCTTCGGGACTCAGCGATCCTACTGCCTCAGCCTCCGAGTAGCTGGGACTACAGGCATGCGCCACCATGCCCGGCTAATTTTTTTTTTTTTTTGTATACATATTTTTAGTTGGTCAATTAATTTATTTCTATTTTTGGTAGAGACGGGGTCTCGCTCAGGCTGGTTTCGAACTCCTGACCTTGAGCAATCCACCTGCCTCGGCCTCCCAAAGTGCTAGGATTACAGGCGTGAGCCACCATGCCCGGCTCTTTTTCTTTTTTTTATTAGCCTGAAATTAGATATCCATACTGAGCTCTTATCAATATCGTTTTCTAATTGCTAATTGTTACTACTTTCCAACTAGATTATTAAACCTCTTGAAGACATTGTAAGTGTATTTATACTCTTCTTGTATCTCCAGGATCTGTCATGTTTTCTTGAGTATGTGGGTGTCTGTATGTTGCTAGGTGGCAGATCTAATATTTTTAGGAGAGCACACCATCCTCGGCTTGCTTGTCCTGATCAGCAGAACTTGTAGTCCTTATTTAAGTGGGTAGGTTTTCATTGTGTTTCACCAAGGCCAACCAAGAAAAACATTTCAGGTTTTCAGAGGAGTGGCTTCTTATTTATCACACTGATTGGCTGTTGTTTAGAGAGCTTTAATTTTGGCAACTTTATTAGGAAGAAGACATTTAAGAAGAAAACTGGAGACAAGTTCACTGTACAGTAGTCCCCCCTTATCCTCAGGGAATACATTCCAAGACTCCTAGAGGATGCTTGATACTGCGGATAGTACTGAACTTGCTCTTTTGCCCATGTTGGAGTACAGTGGCATGATCATAGCTCATTGCAGCCTCAAACTCCTGGGCTCAAGCAATCTTGCCTCAGCCTCCCTAGTAGTTGGGAAACAGGTGTATGCCACCACACCCAGCAAATTTTTTTTATTTTTATAGAGACAGGGTCTCGCTATGTTGCCTGGGCTGGTCTCTAACTCCTCAGCTCAAGCAATGCTCTCACTGAGCTCACCCTCTAGAGTAGCTAGGATTACAGGTACTATGCTAGTAATGTTTTTTTCTCCACATATGTGTCTATGATAATACTTATAAATTAAGCTAGTAAGAGATTAACAACAATAACTAATAATAAAATAGAATGGTTAAAACAATATACTATAATTAAAGTTATCTGAATATGGTCCCTCTTTCCCCAAAATATCTTATTGTACTATACTCACCCTTGTGATCTGTCAACCTGATAACCAAGTAACTAACAGGTGGGTATTATACACACCATTGAATGCTGGACAAAGGAAATGATTCACTTCCTGGGTGGAATGGAGTGGGATAGTTTGGGATGGCACTAGATTTCATTCTGCCATTTAGAACAGTGCGTGATCTTAAACTGTAGAATTGTTAGTTTCTGGAATTTTCCATTTGATATTTTTGGTTCATGGTTGACCTCAGGTAACTGAAACCATGGATTAGGAGAGACTACTATACAATTTTTTTCTAAAGAACTGTAAAACTTGTTTGTTTGCAGATCAGGGAGCAGAGAAACATGAAGGCACAGGTCAGTCCTCTGGGATCACTGATCAAGAGAAGGAGTTTTCCACCAATGCTTTCCAAGCTTTCACGGTAAGCTTTGACTTCTCTTAATCTGCTCAATTGTAGGATTCTGCCAAGTATGAATCCTTTTATGGTGAATTTTTTAATTTATAATTTTTATGCTGTAATCATTCAAGAGTTAAGTTTAGAAAGAAGTAGATTTAATGTTAAAGTAAAGAAAAATATCTTAGAGTTTACATATGGTGAAAGAATGGGAATAATTTGAGCCATTCCCAAGTTTTTGTATTTTCATAAACATGTTTTTAAGTCTTTTAAATTTAGATTTGTAAGTATGTGGATCAGTCTTTTCATTTCACTACTCTGGTCAATTCTTTTTCTTTAATTTACTTTAAAATGGAACTTTAAAAGTTTATTGTCAGAATTTTAACTTTTCTGACATTAAATGATATGAGAGAAAAATCTTATTTGATTTTCAAGAGCCAAGTTTGGTAGCACACACCTGTAGTTCCAGCTACTCAGGAGGCTGAAGTGGGAAGACCACTTGAGCCCAGGAGTTCAAGGCTGCAGTGCTCTAGGATCACCCTTGTTAATAGCCGCTACACTCCAGCCTATAGCAAGACTCCATCTCTTTAAAAAAATAATAATAATAATAATGATTATCAGGTTACATACATGTAAGTAAGCATAAGAACTTGATACTTGAGTATTCAAAATATACTTACTAGAAATTAAAACTTGGAGTAATTATATTACTTTTCTTGGCTAGTTTCAACTATTTATACTCTGCTAGCATTATATTAATACATATATAGCAATGTATCTATTATATCTATATATGTCTCTTATAGATACATGTGTCAGTGTCAGAGTTTGAGTCTTAGTAAGGATATATCTACAGTTTAACTGACATGAATATTGCTTTATCTAGCAATTTTGATTATTAGGAGGATTATCTTTTTAAGAATTTTTAAGATAAAGATAAGTGAAATATATTTGGAATGATGTATTGTTCTTAAAGCTGGTATGTAATTTTGTGTGTATGTGTGTGGTTTTTTTTTTTAGTCTGGAAATTATGATGCCTGTCTACAACACCTTGCCTGTCTACAAGATATAAACAAAGATGATTATAAAATAATTTTGAATACAGCAGTAGCTGAGTTTTTTAAGAGTAACCAAACAACAACAGATAATTTGAGACAAACACTTAACCAGCTGAAGAATCAGGTGATACACAAATGAATTTAACTATAAAAGATACTGTTCTGTTCTTTAATTTGTGAAATATAAATAGTTAAGGAAAATAAATGTGACTTCTTATGTGATATTGGTAGCATAATTTTTATGTATCTGAAACATTTGTTGGTATTAATTTTATTTTCATAAAATTATTCCAGAAAATGAAAGATATGTTGTCTGATTTTTAATTAACTTGAACATAATAACTTAATATACCACATTTGATTGAGCTTTAGAGTTTTGAGAAAGAATTAAAGTAGAACTATATGAAGAAGTTTAAGCCGGGCACTGTGGCTCACGCCTGTAATCCTGGCACTCTGGGAGGCCGAGGCGGGAGGATTGCTTGAGCTCAGGAGTTTGAGACCAGCCTGAGCAAGAACGAGACCCCATCTCTACTAAAAATAGAAAGAAATTAGCCAAACAACTGAAAAGTAGAAAAAATTAGCCGGGTGCGTTGGCGCATGCCTGTAGTCCCTGCTACTCTGGAGGCTGAGGCAGGAGGATTGCTTGAGCCCAGGAGTTTGAGGTTGCTGTGAGCTAGCCCAACGCCACGGCACTCTAGCCTGGGCAACAGAGTGAGACTGTCTCAAAAAAAAAAAAAATTTAGCTACTGAGATAGATCTTGTTTGTAACTGCAAATATCTGATTATTAATAATGTCAGGTTGTTTTAGCTTTTTGTATCAGGAGATGATTAATTAAATAGATATTCTGATTTACATCTAGTTTGGGACTTGAATGGGTCATTGGGCTGGCCATAACAGTTAATACTTCTCGTTGTTAACAGTGATTTTGCTTATAGGATCAGCTAGAAGACATTAGTGCTCACTGTGTGACAGGCTCTGCTAGTAACCTTACATGCAACATCTCATTTTATTCTTCTCAATTGCACTATGAAGTAGCTACTTTAATTTTTCTCATTTTACGGGTGGAAAAGCTCAAGCACAGATAGCTGTGTAAATTGTCCACAGACACTAAGCTTTTAAGTAGTAAGAGCTACATGAACCCAGTTCTGTTTGACTCTAGAGACTGCACATTTAAATTACTACTTCATGCTGTTGGGAGTTTTGAGACCCTTTGAAGCCCCTGCCTTGTAGTCATGAGTACTATTATACCATACAGCATCACCCTAAAACATGATACATTTAGAAATAAGTGATCCCTTTGGGCTCTTCATAATTTTTTTTTTTTTTAGACAGAGTCTCATCTGTTGCCCAGGCAGGAATGCCGGTGGGTGTACAGCCTAGTTACGCAACCTCACCTCTGGGTCAGCAATCGCTATGCCCTCAGGCCTCCGAGTAGCTGGATACAGGCATGCACCACCATGCCCGGCTAATTTTATCTATATATTTAGTTTGGCCAATTAATTCTTCTGTTTTTAGTAGAGAGGGTCTGTGTCTTGCTCATGCTAGTTCTCGAAACTCTGCTTTGAGCTATTCACCCACCGCCCAGTCTCGAGTGCTAGGTTACAGGCTGTGAGCCCCACGCCAGCCAAATATTTTATAGGAGTAAACTATTTAAACTCATTAAATTCTCAACCAAAACTGAAATAACAGCAATATTTATTTAATGTTTACTTGATGCCAGATTCTATATTAATTGCTTTTTATGCCTTATTGTCTGCACATGGTACCTCTGAGATGTATTGTTTTCAGTTTTTAACTGGATTAGGAGTGAATAGTTTAATTTTACAGCTGAATAATAGCAGTGTATACCAGGCTTCGATTTTGAAGCTGTTCTTATAAACCACCTTCAGTGTCATATTTTATTCATCCATCTCATTATCATGTTATTACCCATGCTTTATTGGAGGTTACGATCAAAGGAAATGATGTTTTGCTAAATTTTTTTTTTTTTCTAGTACATGGCCTATAACCCCATAGATAGTTTCTTCCTGGACAGATTTGATTGGTCTTTGAACACAAGTTCAGCCTTAATTTTTTTTTTTTAAATAAGGGGCTCCTGCAAGACTTCCCTATAGGCCAGGAATGGTTTTGAATCTTTTACGCCTTTATTCTTAATAAGGTTTGTTCAGTGCCTTCCAACTCTTAATTTTCCTAGAATTTTTATGCTTCCTAGAAGTTCCTGGCTTCTTTAATGAATTTTATTCTGGCTGGAGCAATTACTAGACTATTTTGGTGAATCATAGAAAATGTGACTAAGTTATTCACATGGTAATGGTAAGTTCAGCCGTTGCTGAATTCAAAACTCCTTAGTTTATCTAAAAGCTTCCTTTCTGGCTAAGAATTAACCTTTTCTTAGCTCATTCTCCATTACATAAGTATTCATACAAGAAGAGTTGCCTTGGCTGGGTTCGGTGGCGCTTGCCTTTAATCCTAGCACTCTGGGAAGCCAAGGAGGGTGGATTGCTCAAGGTCAGGAGTTCAAAACCAGCCTGAGCAAGAGCGAGACCTCATCCCTACTATAAATAGAAAGAAATTAATTGGCAAGTAATGTATATAGAAAATTAGCCAGGTCAGGTGGCGCATGCCTGTAGTCCCAGCTACTCGGGAGCTGAGGCAGCAGGATCGCTTGAGCCAGGAGTTTGAGGTTGCTGTGAGCTAGGCTGATCCATGGCACTCACTCTAGCCTGGGCAACAGAGTTAGACTCTCTCTCGAAAAAAAAGGAAGAGTTGCCTTTTGTTGTACTTTGAAGTTTCTCTGTTTAAAGAGACTGTTTTTAATTACTTGAAGATAGGGACTTGGGAAATGAGGATTATAAAGAGTTTCCAAACTCATTGAGACACACGTTGTTGGTCAGGTAATCCCTTGCTAACAATTTGTGGTCTTGTCAAAACTTTACCACATGTGTGATTGAAGTTTGTCAAAATCCAATTACAAATCATTGTGTGTCATGAACCTTGAGGTTCCTTGCCATTAACAGAGGTTGTGAAGTCCGTGTACTATAAATCAGAGTTCTGCATGATTTAGAGAAAGGTCAGTCTTAGAATTAATTACTTAATATTTTACAATAATTCATTCCAATCTTTGTAATGACAAAGAATCATTAGTTTAAATACAGGTAGACTTCAATTTCATGTGTTATATGGAATTATGGAATGGTTGTGAAACTTGATTAAAATTAAAAGCCTTTTGCTGGGGTGATGGAACCTTTATAGCCCTGATTCAAGAATTACAAAAGCTATCCATGTAACAAAACATTTGTATCCCCTTGATATTTTGAAATAAAAAAAGAAGTGGCACAAATACTTAAGATAATTTCTATTTCATTTTCATCATTCTTTCTTTAAAAATAGACATCTAAAGGTTCCATCAGTTAATAAAAAACAAACTGTTCTAAAAACAAACAATCCTATTGCTATAGCTTACAGAAGGAGTTACAGTTTTAAACTGCAAATGTCATTAACTTTAAAATGCAATGTGTCAAGATTTTTTTAAATTTCGGTATCAGTTATGGATATTTGGGGTTCTACCAAAGCCCCTAAAAACCTATTCTAAGCATCACATGTGGCATAGTATATTTTTGTCGTTTATTACTTTAAAAAATCTATTCTTTTTTACTATGGGAACAAAACCTGAAAATATACTTCGTAGCCATATGACCTTGGACTAGGTAATTAAGCTTTTCTGTGCTGGTTTTCCTTATTTATAAAATGGAAATGAAATTATCTGTCTCCTAGAAGTATGGTGAGAATTAACGCATAAAAGTTTTAACATAGCAAACCTGGCACATGGTAAGTAGTTAGCTATTGTTATTAATGTTTAAATTTTACTTTAGTTTTTACAAAATGGAGTCAAACTGTGTATTCTGTATTACATTTTTATGGGAAAGGTCATTTTGAGTTTTGCCCACTCCCCGTATAGTCTCTTGCTGCTCATGAAATTAGAAAGTGGAAATCCTGCTTGTCCATGTCAGCAAAGGCTTGGGGGTCCCAGCCCAGCTGAAGACGTTAAATCTCATTGTTCTATGCCCTTTTTTGTTCCCTGTCCTCAATTCCCCTCAATAAACTACTTTAACTGTCCCACCCCCCCAAAAAAAAATAAGAAAATGGGAATCCCACTCAGAAACCATGTTGGCAGTTAAAACAGGGAACATATCTTCACCGTGGAAAAGAGGAGAATCACCTTGCCTTGTGCTGAGTACTTAATAAGGTCCCAACAAAATGTTTTACTTGACCAGGTATGGTAGCTCACTTCTGTAATCTTAGCATTTTATGAGGCTGAGGTGGGGGGGATCCCTTGAGGCCAGGAGTTCGAGACCAGCCTGGACAACATAGCAAGACTCCATAGACTCTGCAGAAAATAGAAAAATTAACCAAGCATGGTGGCACATGCCTGTAGTCCCAGCTATGGCTGAAACAGGAGGATCACTTGAGTTCAAGACTTTGACGTTACAGTGAGCTGTGATCGAGTCACTGCACTCCAGCCTGGGCAATAGAGCAAGACCCTGTCTCAAATAAATAAAATTAAAAAATAAAAAGTTTACTTAGTAGAATTTTATTATGTATGAAATGGACAAATGAAGTAATTTTTAGTATGTGAGAATAATTAAAAATCTGGAGGTGCTGTTGAAAGTATGGAGAAATTCAGAATAAGAATGTTGGGCTGTGTTTCTGTTTACTCGTATGAATTCTTTGACTTTTGTTCTTTATTTTCTAATGTTGTTTGAAAATGGTCTCTGTTGATTGTTTTATAGGTCCACTCAGCTGTTGAAGAAATGGATGGATTAGATGATGTTGAAAACAGCATGTTGTATTATAATCAAGCAGTCATTCTGTATCATCTGCGGCAGTATACAGAAGCAATATCAGTTGGTGAAAAACTTTATCAGTTCATAGAACCTTTTGGTATGTTGTCAGTCAAGTCAGAAATTTCCCTGTCTTTTCATACTTGCAAAGTTTTCTGTTACTTTTACATAGATTACGTATATCAGAGAATTATAAGTCACAATTTAAAGAAAAAAAGAAAAGCTATGTCAGCTTTTCTTAATGGTTAGAAAAAATAAAAATATAATCCAGATTTTCTTTTAGACCCCCTTCCTTCCCAAAGTTTGAAGGTAATTATTGTTGGAAAATGTTGGACCTACTGATTTTTGTGTTGTCTTTTCTGTTTAAACACTACCTTATTTGCCTAAAACACTACCTTATTTGCCTGAAACACTACCTTATTTGCCTGATTCATTCTTTCTTTAGTACATTAAGGAAGGAGCATTTTGGAATGTTAGGGGATAGTGTAGCATTTCACTTTTGTGTGTTGCCTAACCGAAATTTTTGTGGATAATCATGGAGTAAGTAGAATGGAACTCTTAGCTTTTTTGTTATCTTACCTAGCTTACTGTTACTATTATAGATTCAAGTAGGGGTAATAAGAAAGATAAGGGCAAAGGAAAAAAGAGCAGCAAAGGGAAATCTAGATCCAGGAAATGGTTAGAGAGGGCTGTTGGTTTCCAGCTCACAAGTAGTCAGATTTCATTTGTGTGTCACATTTTTGTTTTTTCTCCTTGGTTACTTTCTTTTAAATTCAAAACAATAATGGGAATTCCTAATTTAAGAACACCTAATTGCTAATGTGATTACCACAGGACAAGTGGTGGGGTGTGATGGCTCTCTGTGGTGCTTTGGGAAAAATTAGAGGGTCTCCCTTTGCTGACAGTTGGTTGAACAGCTGGTTACTGTGGCTTCAGGGATCCATTTTTAAGTGCTTCTCTTCTTTCTCTCAATCCTGAGGGCTTGGTGGCTGGACAGATTGAGCTAGAGAGACATCAGTTATAAGGGATTCTGTAATTAGTGACCAATTCCTTCCTTCTGTGTAGCTAGAAATCAGAATATACTTATAGGATGGCACATGTTTATTTCTATAAAGCTACTGTTATTGATGCTTTTTAAGATTCTTGGAATAGTTCATGTAATGCTGTTTATATGCACTGTGGCTGAACAGAATATAGCAATCAACTAGTCAGTGTTCATATTTATTTTTCTTCTTTGAAAATTATTTTGGTTTTTATTTTTTAACTTTTACTAATACTCCTTTTTTTTTTTTTAAGACTTTATTGTTTTAGAGTGGTTGTAGATTCACAGCAACATCAAGAGGAAGGTACAGAAATTTCTCATGTATCGTTTGGCCCCTTCACATCCATTGCCTCTCCCATTATCAATGCCACCCAACAGAGTGGTAGGTTTGTTATAATTTGTGAACCTACATTGACACATCATAATCACACAAAGTCCATAGTTTACATTAGAGTTCACTCTTGGTGTTGTACATTCTATGAGTTTGGACAAATGTATCCACTTAGAGTATCATATAGCATATTTTCACTGCCCTAAAAATTCTCTGTGTTCTTCCTTTTCATTCCCCCGTCCCTTTATACCGTCTCTATAGTTTTGCCTTTTCCAGAATGTCAAAGTTGGAATCATAAGTACTCATATTCTTCATACAACATATTTATTGAGCCATGGGCCAGTACTGTGGGCCAGACACTGTTCCATTTGGAGATAATGCAGTGAGCAAAATTGAGAAACTCTTTACCTTCATTAAGTTATATTCTAATGAGAGAAAAAGCAATACTGTATATACATTTGTTCCTCAGTATTCTTGGGGGATTGGTTCTAGTACCCCTAACGGATATCAGAATCCACTGATACTCAAATCCCTTATACAAAATGGCATAGTATTTGTAATATAACTGACATGCATCCTTCCATATACTGTAAATCATCTCTAGATTACTTATAAAACCTAATACGATGTAAATGCTCCATGAATAGTTGTCATACTGTATTCTTTGAGAAAAAAGTCTTTACATATTCAGTATAGATGCAACGAATCTTTTTTTTTAATATCAATCCATAGTTGGTTTAATCCACAGATGCAGAACCCACAGAAATGGAAGGCTGACTATATTGTGAGGTAGTTGGATGCTGTAAAGCTTTATTAGGTTATTAAGTATGAAATGTTTGATTTCCTTAAGTACTAAGTTTGACAGTTGATAGCTCTGATATTTCATTTTTGACACTTGGGTTTTTGTTTTGTTTTTTTATTGTGAGGGTACATATTAATTCTTTCAAATGCACGTTTTGGCTTGTGATTATCTTTCACATTTTTTTAGAGCAATTTTCATGAATCTATGGATAAGTCAAAAATTCGTGTTATTTTTTAATATGAGTTTCATCATGGAACCAGTGCAGTGCAGACAGATCAAAATATCAATGAAGTGTTTGAGAAGGATGTGGCTAATGAACACAAGTCATCATGGTTTGAGAATTCATTCTGATGATTTTAATGTTGAAAATGAGCCACGTGAGCAACCTGAGAACAAGATGGATAATGATGAGCTGAAAGCTCTAGTGGAAGTGAATCCATCTCAACCTACACATGAATTAGCAGTAAGGTTTGACATTACTATTCTAATAATATTGGACCATTTGAAACAAATGAGCAAGGTAAAGAAGCTGGATAAATGGGTTCTGCATAAATTAAATGAGCATCAGAAGAGAAATCATCTCAAAGCTTGACTTTCTTTGCTGTCACAACATAAAGGTGAACCATTTCTACACCATATTGTTACATGTGATGAAAAATGTGGTTTTTTGACAATCGCAAGTGTATAGCACAGTGGAGAAGATGAAGTGTGAAACACAGTCCAAAACCAAATGTTCACTAAAAACAGCTAATTGTGTCTGTTTGGTGGTCCAGCACTGGTAGTATTCACTACAGCTTCATGAAACGTGGTCAGTCAATTACAGCACATGTCTATTGCAGCCAGTTGAATGAAATGATGAGGATGCTTGTGATTAAGCAGCCAATATTGGTCATTAGAAACAGGCCAATCCTCTTGTAAGACCACATGTTGCAAAAAAAAAAAAAATGCTGCAGAAGCTGGACTCGGAAACTCTCTGTCATCCGTTGTATTCACCAGAACCAACTACCACTTCTTCTAAGCTTTGGACCACTTGTTGCAAAGAAAAATATTCAATTCTCAACAAGCTGTGGAAAACGCCTTTTGTGTTTTCATTGCCACTTGCTCTTCAGGCTTCTTCTCTGCTGTCATAAACAAGCACTGTTAAGATGGCAAAACTGTGCTGATAGTTTGGGCTCATACTTTGATTAATTGTACTGCTTCTTTTTTTTTTTTTTTTGAGACAGTCTCTCTCTGTTGCCTGGGCTAGAATGCCATGGCATCAGCCTAGGTCACAGCTACCTCAAACTCCTGGGCTCAAGCAATCCTTCTGCCTCAGCCTCCCGAGTAGCTGGGACTACAGGCTGTGCGCCACCATGCCCGGCTAATTTTTTCTATATATTTTTAGTTGATCCGAATTAATTTCTTTCTATTTTTAGTGAGACAAAGTCTCACTCTTGCTCAGGCTGGTCTCGAACTCCTGAGCTCAAACGATCCTCCCGCCTCAGCCTCCCAGAGTGCTAGGATTACAGGCGTGAGACACTGCACTTGGCCTGTACTGCTTCTTGTTTGAGATAAACTACGCTTTTAATTCAAACTAAGCCGTTTCATATTTAATGACCTAATAGCTAAGGTAGTCTAGCGAGGCCTGGGATAAGACAGTATTTGAAAAGAGACCTGAATAAAGAAAGGAGATGAGCCAGCCTCTTGACTCTTTAGAAGCAAAGTATTCCTGCCAGAGGTAATGGTATATGCAAAGAACCTGAGGAGACGGGTATATACATACATAATGAGTGAGATGTGCACCATCTGGGGGATGGTCATGCTGGAAACTCAGACTTGTGGTGGAGGGGGGGAAAGGGCATTTATTGAAACCTTAAAATGTGTACCCCCATAATATGCCGAAAAAAAAAAAAAAGAACCTGAGGAGAGTGACAGTGTTTGGTGACAAGAACGGCAGAGAGGCCATTGTGTGGGGAGAATAGTCGGACAAAAAGTCAGAAATAGCCAGAGACGGAACAGGTAACTGCTAGGGAAGGACTTACTGTCTTAGGTGTAATGAGAAGCACTTTTATGACACTTGTGCACTAACTGTGTTGATTTTGTTTTAAATAGAATCCACTCTTTAAAGGCTTTGAATTTCCTGTTCTTGATTGTTGCAGCTGCTTTTAGACTTACTTTTCCTTTATATTTTCCTTTCCTCTCTTTGTGGCCTTCTTCCTTTGAAGGCTTGTTCTTTATATTCTTCCTCTTGGCGGTCTTCATTTTCATTTATCCAACCACGCCTTTCTTCTTTTGGTTCTGTAATCAGATTATGTCCTTTTTACGTTTCTGTGACCTAGAAAGAAAATCTATTTCATAGATTTATAGAGCTTTTTAGAGTTAAAAGGAAGGTCAAAATGTCACCTGGTCCACCTTCTCTGTCTTTCGGCAGGCAAAGCATTCTCCCCATTTTACAGGTCAGCCAACTGAGATCTGAAAAGTTAAATGATGTATAGAGACCACACATCTAGTTAGTGGCAGAGTTGAGTATCCTTTATCCAAAATATTTGAGATCAAAAGTGTTTTGGATTTGGGATTTTTTTTGGATTTTGGAATATTTGTGTTATACTGACAGGTTCAACATCCCTTATCAGGAAATCGGAAATCCAGAATGCTCCAATGTGCATTTTCTTTGAGTGTCATCCTGACACTCAAAAAGTTTCGGATTTTGGAGCATTTTGAATTTTCGGTTCCAGATTTTCAGATTAGGAATACTCAACCTATACTGGGATTCTGATTTTCTTCTGCCTAAAGTAATATTCCTCATTATATGTGCTAGTGTTTATTGTTTTTTTGGTTTTTTTTTTAATTTTATAAAATAAAGTTTTCCTTTTTTTTTGTTTATTTTTTATCTTTTCCATAAGAGACAGTAACATCCATGTGCTAGTGTTTAGTAAACATTTTGCCAAAGAAGATTCAGTCACTGGAATCTCTGAAATTAGAGACTTTGTGATGCCTGATAGAATAACATTGTTTGCATTGGAAGTTGCTCTGGGTGCTCATGGCTCCAGGTGATATGCATTCATTTGAGTAAAGACTTAAACTGCTTTTTAAAGCTTGGCATCTTTTTGTGGGGAGGAGCAGGGGTGGTCTGAGATATGTGTTTCACTTTGTATTGTGACTTTTCTTTTCCTTTTTTTTTTCTCCCAGAAGAAAAATTTGCCCAAGCAGTGTGTTTTTTGCTTGTAGACCTGTATATATTAACCTACCAAGCTGAGAAAGCTTTGCATCTTCTTGCTGTCCTAGAAAAAATGATTTCACAGGGTAACAATAATAAAAATGGAAAGAATGAGGTGAGTATTCAGAGATAATCAGGCTAAAATTTAAAATATTAATATTTGTGGTTTTGAAATATTTTAACAGCTTTATTGAAATATAATTTAAATATCATAAACTTTACCGTTTTTAAAAGTATAGAGTTCATTGTTTTTTAGTGTACTCACAGAATTGTACAACCATCACCACTATCTGATTCCAGAACATTTTTATCACCCCAAAAAGAAACCCTGTACCTATTAGCAGTTGCTCCCTATTTTCCCTTTCCCTCACTCCATGGCAGCCACTGATCTACTTTATGTCTCTGGATTTCTCTATTTTGTCATTTCATGTAAATGGAATCATAATATGTGGCCTTTAGTGACTGGCTTCTTTCACTTAGTGTAATGCTTCCAAGCTTCCTTTTTTTCTTTCTTTCTTTTTTCTTTTTTTGAGACAGAGTCTCGCTTTGTTGCCCAGGCTAGAGTGAGTGCCATGGTGTCAATCTAGCTCACAGCAACCTCAAACTCCTGGGCTCAAGCAATCTTTCTGCCTCAGCCTCCCAAGTAGCTGGGACTACAGGCATGTGCCACCATGCCTGGTTAATTTTTTTCTATATATATTAGTTGGCCAATTAATTTCTTTCTATTTATCATAGATACGGGGTCTTGCTCTTGCTCAAGCTGGTTTCAAACTCTTGAACTCGAGCAATCCGCCCGCCTTGGCTTCCCAGAGTGCTAGGATTACAGGCAAGAGCCACTGCGCCTGGCCCAAGCTTCCTTTATGTTGTAGCATGTACGTATTCCTTTTTAATGTACTTCATCCCTTTATATAGCCAAATAATATTTCATTCATTATCTAGATATACCACATTTTTTAAATTCATCAGTTGATGGACATTTGGATAGTTTCCTACTTTTTGGCTGTTACAGATAATGCTATGAACATTCATGTACAGATTTTTGTAAGGGCATGTGTTTTTAGTTCTCTGGGGTATAACATTTAGGAGCAGAGTCACTGGATTAAATGGTAACTATATGTAACCTCAAGGGGAACTACCAAACTGTTTTCCAAAGTGGCTGCACTATTTTACATTCCCACCAGCAAGGTTATAATTTCTCCACATTTTCACCAACTCTTGTTATTGTCTGTCTTTTTAAAAAAAATTTAGTCATCTTGGTGTGAAGTGAGGATATCTTATTATAGTTTTGATTTGCATTTCCCTAATGACTAAGGATGTGCATTGAGCATTTTTTCATGTGTGAGATATTATTTTTACAGAGTGTAAAAGGTTAGGGCCGGTGCAGTGGCTCACACCTGTAATCCTAGCTCCTCTGGGAGGCCGAGGCAGGAGACTCCTTTGAGCCTCAGGAGTTCTAAAACCAACCTGCAGCAAGAGCAGAGACCCTGTTCTCTACTATAAATCTAGAAGGCCGGCGGCGAGCTTAACCGCCTGTAACTCCTAGCACTCTGGGAGGCCCGAGGCGGTGCGGATACGCGTTGAGGTCAGTAGAGTCTCGAACAGCTGAGAAGAGCGAGACCCGTCTCTACAATATAGACAAGAATTAACTTGGCGCAACTAATATATATCACGAAAAAATCACGTCGCATGTTGCAAGCCGCCTGTCCCCAGCTATCGGGGCTGAGGCAGGAGGATGCTTGAGCCCAGGAGTTCTGAGGTTGCTCGTGACTAGGTTCGATGCATGCGCCACTCACTCTAGCCTGGGCAACAAAGTGAACTCTGTCTCAAAAAATAAAAAGGTTAGAATATCTCAAGACAATTGAATCCATAGTCTCGGATACCCCCACCCAGTCTGATAACAGTGTACGCTTTGATCGGGAAACTGAATAACATGAAAACATTACAGTTCTTGCTTTCAAGTATTTTAGGTCTGGGCTTAGATTGAGCAGTATCTGTTCACAGATAGGGGAAGAAGGAGGTTAGGGAATGTTTCAGAGGAATTTAAATGTATGATTTGGGCCTTGAAAGATGGTAAGCTTACTGTTAAGATAGGATTTGATGTTCTTGGCAGTGTTTATAACAGGATGAGTTTTTAAGAAGGGAGTAATATGATCTTTTTTGAGTTATAGAAGGATAATCTGAGTTTTGCCCAAGTAATATCCCTGCTTTTTAAAACAAGCTCATTGTTATGCTCAACTGTGAGATTCTTATAAGTAGAGTTTCCTAGCACCCACTCACGCAATCCAGACTGCTGAACCTGAATTTCTGGGAGTAGGACCAGGGATTCTGCATTTTGAAAATGCTCTCTAGATGATTTAGATTAGCTCACTCTGATTTATATTATGGTGAAAAAATATTTAATTTTGGTAAACTTTCTTTCATTACCCTACAGACTGGTAATAACACCAACAAAGATGGATCTAATCATAAAGCTGAAAGTGGAGCTCTAATAGAAGCTGCAAAATCAAAGATACATCAGGTAGTATAAATTTAAAGGGAGATTATACATCACATATATTTACTTGTGGTTATGAAGAATGAAGCAGTGTGATAGGTCATTGAAACCAGTAAATAATTGAAGGCATGTATACCTACTTGGCTTTGAGATATTGTAGTTTAGAATATGTTTTACTTAACACTATAATGTAATATATAATTTCTTTTAAATTACTGTATAAAAGGTTGAGAGAAATGTCCTAGGGATATTTCTAGGTGATAAAATCAGTTGGTGGATTTTTAAAAATCATTGTTATTAATAAT